GACAGCCAGCTTTAATGGCATCAACATGCTGAGGGCCTACGTGTCCCATTTTAATGGCAATTGCGCGTCACCATGGTAGCTCCATTAAAAGTTTGGGGCAGGCACAGAACCTGCGGCTGAAAGTTATCAACCAGCCAGCCAGCTAGCTAGCCAGGCCAGGTTCACAGCTAGTCGAAATGAATTTCAACAATTTTGGCCAAATCGATGCACAGCACTGCTGCTCATGTAGCCAACGAAATTGCTGGCTAGTTCTTTGACACACTCGCCGCGTATCACGTATTTCCACTAAGAAGCAATTTGTCCGGCGCCCAATTGAAGTTAGCCGGGCCAGCGGCAACAGCAAATTAGGCTACAGCTGGCCGATTGAGCCATAAGCACGGTTAAGGCCGATGGCTTTTGCAAAGTTGTCTTAATTATTATTTTTTTGCGGGAAGAACCACGCTTAAGACCCTTGACGGAAATGTGCTGATGGTGTGTTATATATGTATATAAAAAAAAAAAAAAATAATCACATATGTATTTGAGTATATCTGGAATATATGTCTGACAAGTGTCGATGAATGGAAATGCAAAACACCATCAATTCCGTAGCTGTCTTTACCCAGCTGTCAGTATGTTGACCCAGTTTCAACTGAACACACGTTTGCCTAGTAAAAAGGGTGCATCGGTGTATAGAAGAGGGCTGTTCGAAAAGTATCGTGAATGGATTATTTTGAAATGTTCATGTTGTTATTCAGTTGATTCCACTTATGATGATGTCCGACAGCTGCTGTGCCTGGACGTGCATTGCCTTGCCTTCGATTTCGGCCAATTCCAAAGTGTATCACAGATTTGGCCACTTGACATGCCGCATCCCTGGAACTGCCCCCATGAAGAGGCCCATGAAAGGAAGAAGCTATGCTACGATTGAGTAGATAAAGGCGGATGGAAATAAAAACTGAAACAGAAGCCAGTTTTATTTCCATCCGCCTTTATCTACTCAATCGTATTCGATTATATCGATTATAAAAAAGATTTTCTGAAGTGCTTCGAGAATTTGTGAGATATCTGATGCGGATTAGGTTGAAGACTTTTCATAATAATAAAACTTGTTGAGCAGACCTCGTTTTGATATATTACCAGAGACTTGACATTTAGCATATATTAGGTGTCTCATCTGATAACAGGTTATGAGTTTTTGAATAAACCCAGTGGGTGGGGTAAATTGGCAAGAACTATATCTATCTGTATAAAGTCTTTGCGCCAAGCCCCGTTTTAAGGGCGTGACATGTCAATATCTAAAGAGCTAAACTCTCTAAGCTGATTTACTCTACAGCTAGAGCTATAAATTATATGGTCAGTCCAATAGAGCGTGAACGAGTATTAAGCTGTCAATACGTTCGATTGCAACGATTCTTACTTTGTTTTTTTTGTTGTATATATCTGGCAACAATATAATGAAAGTGCTGGCAATATTCCAATTATTAATGTTTTTTTTGTTTTTGTTTTTTTTTTTTGTCCATTGCCTTAATTTTTTTTTTTTTTTTTTTTTTTTTTTTTTTTTGTGTCAGCAAATTTAAAAATGCATTTGACTCTCTGACCTACAACATGACATATTTTTTGTATGTAAACTTAATATATATATTTTTTTTAATGTATATATTTTTTTTATTAAGTGTCATGCATATGCCTTACTTGAATAAAAAAGTTACACAATAAAAAGAAAAAGAAAAAAAAAATGCAATTCAAGAGCTTTGTCAAGTCAGCTTTATATGTATGCTGGGTAGACTCCATTAAGTCTTTGACATTTTTAATTGGTTTAGCAATCAGTTAAGCAATCCCAATTTGATTAATCTTAGCCTTGCGTTTGTTTTAATGAAAGGAAAGAAAGAATGAAATTTCCTGTTAGCTCTCGTCGCGACTTTGTTAATTGCTAATTTAAATTTTCCATTTGCCAAAGCGTAAATATTTGAAATGCTTTGTTATCCTTTCCTCCTAAATGTTCCTTTTTCTATTCAAGAAAGGGTAAAATGCAGCAAATACTATTTTAAATGCTCAGCGAAGCGAATTTGACTTTGAATCGATGCGATAGAAAATACATTGTATCACCCAGGATGGATGCACATTTTTAATTAAACTTCTAAAAGAGCAAAGTTTCGGAATAAAAATTGATAAACTATTTGCTGCAAAAGTTTACGAATTTAGCCAGACCAAAAAGGCATGATTATATTTAGAATAATTATAAATTTAATAGGTAGAATTAGCAGATAAGGGATATACCTTTGAAAAGGATTAGAGAGGCCAAGGCAATCAGATTTTATTAATTAATCATATACATATATTATGAAGGATATAGTATTCTCAATGGATGTGCATATAAACGGAAATGATATATGTATAAATAAAAATAATCTGCATGTATTCCACCGGATCTATTTGATCGGAAGGTCGATATCAGCTTTTCGTATATTGATGAGTGAAAAACCAAAGTGGATCTGTGACCTTGTCGAGGCTTACTGATTAGACGCATTAGTTCGGTCCGGCTGTCGATCGTATACTATAACTATAATACGGTCATTATGGCATCCGTCACGCCTTCAGCTGATTGCAACATTTAGTTACTTTCTATAAAATAAATTTGTTGTAGAGGTGGAGTGAGGTCATAGAAAGTGCTGATTAATACCTATACACCTGCAGAAAGTTGAGTCATAATCTATACGTAATACCTGTGAAAATTTCTCGACGATGTGGCGTTTAGAACGTGTTTTTCACAATATTCGTATTCTCGAGTCGAAAGAAAAGTAATTACGATTACGATTTAAGCGCATACTTAAATGAAAATCCATTTCTAAACAGTTGCTGCATAGCACGCAAGGCTGAACAGTGAAGCCTCCACATGCTGATTGCCCTTTCTACAGTACTGCTTGCATGCCATGAAAATCTAAGGGAATTGCGAGCGGCCTATTATGGGCAACTAAACCAGTTTATGGCATGGGAATCTACTCTATTATTGATGCATTCAGAGAGTTTTTTTAATGATCCTAATTGAGCAATATCTAAGAGAATAGTACACAGTGATTTGTCGAGTGTCCACTATGGGCCAGTGCACACTGTATGTGGTTGTAACACTGTGTCGTGCAGTTGGACATTCAATTTGCATGGCAATGAGCTAACTTATTGAGTTATTCAGTTATTCAGTGCGAAGCAACTCTCAGCTGTCAACTGAGAGCTGCAGTCTAATTTCATTTGGGAAATGGCGAATGTTCGTTCGTTCGGCTATTCAAAGTTGAAGATGAAGTGACGTTGCATATGCCGCGTGCCACATGCCGCATGCCACATGCCACATGCTACCGAGTATAAATATAACAAGTGCCGAGTGAATTATGTACATAAATAAAACAGCTTTGCCTCCATTCTGCCGACCGTCGAAATACTCTGTTATGACTCTCAAACTGTAATCGAAGGGCAGCAGTGAACCTTCAACTGTATGGGGAAAAGATTTCTGGGTGGGGCAGAATAGAATTTGAGCCGTATGATAAAAGCAATGTAATGGACTGATATACCCGTTTGGCTCCGCTTGCCAACAGAGTGGCACACGCAACGAAACACTGGGGCGCAGGCGGTCGGACATGAAGGCGCCGCATGTAGATGTTGTGGCAAATTCACTTGCGAGTTGGCGCTAAAGCTTGAAGTTCACGTCGCATAGAGCTGGCTGTGCAACAAGGAAAGCTTTTGTCTGTTTTCGGTGCGACTAATTGTTGCTGCACGCTGACAGGCTAGAGCTGTGTGGCAGCTGCCGAGGCAGCTATCTCGCTATTGAAGAGCTCCGCTGGAGCTCACTGACGTTGACAGGCTGCGTCGCCTGAGTAACAGCAGTAGCCGCTCTGATGCGACCCATCTGGCTATGTATGTATGTATATTGCGCGCCAGCTAAAAGTGCAATAAACTTTGACAAAATAAGGCGAAACTATTACCGCGGGCTACGGCCGGTACGGAGGGAGGGGAGAGGGTGAGCGAGGCGGAGGCGGAGGTGGAGGCATAGGAACAAATGGAGCGCCAGTAAACTCTTTAAATTGTCACACATACACACATTGCAGGTTGTGCATGAAAAAAATGAGTAAAACTGAACTTATGGGGAGTGCTTGACCTGTAAATACCCTAATTAAATACATAAATAAATATTGTAGCTTCTATTTTGATTGATTTATAGGGATTTACAGTATGTAGGAGTATGTCAATGTAATGTCCAATTTGATATTTCTAGTGTATTCCTAGTGCTTATAGCTAAATAAATCAATCATAATTTTTTATCGATTTGTATGAAAGTAGTATACATATATCGATAAATTTAAATCAAATCGATTCATATTTCATATTTTTTATAGTCGAAACTTGCAGTTAAACGATATATGAATAACATATTGAACCACCCTCGCATACACAGATGGGGTCAATGAAATGGCATTTCTGACTGTTACAGGCATGTGCATATAATCAATATACCCACTTCACACATGGCTAATGGGCGAAGAGTATAAAAAGCCGCAGCTGAAGACGACATCAATAACAACAGCAACAGAAACAACAACAGCAACAACAACAGCAACAACAACAGCAACAGCGGCAGCGGCAGCGGTAAAGAGAACTTCTTGATTAGAATTCGTTTGCGCTGACGTTGCCTTGCGAATAGCCGCCGACGCCGCCGTTGCCGTTGACGCCGCGAATAGTGGTTGTTGCTCGGTCTATGGGTCTATGTGGTATGTCCAGCTCTGCATGTGACAGAGCCAAAGAGAAAGAGAGAGCGGAGAGAGAAAGAGAGAGAGCGTTGGAGATGTTTAGAAATATTGGCGTATGTTGGGAGACTTTAAGCTAAATTTCATTTGCATGTTAATATTTATGGTAATGCTGAGAGCGCTGCGACATCTGCCGCGCTTGTTATTAATGTTATTGCCAATGGACTACATATAAGCGGAATAGAACATTGTCTAAATGCTACAAATTGATATCAAATTAATATTTACTCGTGCGGGATTCTCAATCATTTGAGATGGTTTTGATTGTACGTTCGCTATGAAGATCTTCTTTTCTTGAGCAGGCCGTTGCGCTGCTGTGTTTTGGTTTGCGCTGTGTTGTCGTGTCACAGGCGGCGAGAGGAGAGAGGCGTTCAATCAGTTGCGCTAACGCAGTAGCGTTGTTTGTTGTTGTGGTTGTTGCTGTTGTTTCTATTTCAGCTTTTATTATTATTGTGTTTGTTGTTTGTGTGCTTGATCATTTGTAGTTGTTACTATAGGTCCCTACAATTGGTAGTCAATCACACTTGGTTACAGCGAACATTGTTGCATTCGCATTCACTACACGCTCACTTATAAACAAATGCAGTACACGTATTTAATGTTGGCAAGTGTTTGCATTTCTAAAAAAAAAATAAAATAAATAACCACGAACACGTCCGACTTTTGGAGCCGCAAAAAATCTACTGAATAAATACGCACTCTATCGATAGCATGCCAAATGTCTGGCGGCAGTCGATCAACTATCGACTACTTGTTAGCACCAACAGCTGATTTTTGCTACGTCAGGTGGCAGCACTTTGCTCTTTACTTTGCTCTATGGCTCAGCAATTTACAACTATTTTTTATTTATATGTTGCTAATATGCTTGGCCAATAGTTGCTGTGTTTTGTATAAGCAGTTTATTTTGAATTCGCGGCCCTAAAAGGCTTGCGCGCTAAAAATATGAAATCAGCTGTGAGCACGAAAACTATCGAATAAAGTGGAAGCACAGCGTTGCCACTACCACATGGTGGCGACCCTGCAACATTAATAACATAGATGGCGCTACATTGCCAGTTCTAAATTCTGCCAGCAGATGTCGCTGTTAAATTCAAAAGGAATTTATGTGCTACTATTATTACGAACAAATTTCTTTTCTGATTTTTTGTGTTTAAAAAATCAATTTATGAGCATCATACATGCACATCGATATTATATTGTCGTGCATGAGTCAGTGAGCTCAAATTATCAGAGCAGTGCTTAGCTTTTCTGCCAGATCGTTACCCAATTGCGAACACGCTCATAAAACCAGACAGCCAATAGATCTTATCAATATTGGCAATTAACTGCAGTCAGCTAATACTTTCCGTGGAACTCCAGATAAATAGGAGACAATAAACGAAATTCTATTTCACACCGAGGTTATATGCATGTCACGCAATGTGTCTAGACGACGATAATATACATATGCACATATGTACATATGTATTTAAATATCTCAAGGAGATTTTTACTAGAGCCACGTAGTGCTCCAGCCTGACTGCCCCATCGCCAAGGGGTATATCGATGTAGCCATGCACGGATGACAGTCAAACTCTCAAAGTAGTTGGCTCTGCCATAGAGCGTTTCACATTGGGAGCGGAGGTCACCTCGTGCTCGGCCGTATAGGCGATGCCAAAGACTCTTACCAAATAGATTACATCACCGTTGGAGTCGTAACCGCCGACAGCATTGCCCTCGGCTGCGAGAACCCCTCCTAAGAGAAGATATTCTTACTTCCTCCGAAGCATAGAGCCGAGAGGCAGCCGTGCAAGCGAGCAAGCACCTTGTCCATGGTCAGGTTGCCCGCATGAAAGCCATGACCGGCCATAGAGATTATGGCCAGCCAGAACGGCATTTGGCGACACGCTGACCTGGCTGTAGTGAAGCCATCTCTGTTCAGTTTGATATCTGATGACGTCCCTGGATATTAATGCTCTTTCCACTCACTCACCCGACATTTTGTGCAAGCTCTGTCGTCGTACAACCAAGACTAACCAAGAACAGTCAGCCAAGGCAATTGCCGTAACTTGGGCGCGCTCTTATCACGGAATACTGCAGAGATAAGGCCGACGCGAGCAGCTCCGAGGCCGAGTGCAGCTCCTTCTCCAGCTCCATCAGCTCCAGTTCGGTCTAGTGCCTGCTGAAGCTCTTTGCAATCCGTTTAAAAAATATATAAAGTAAGCTCCTGTTTATTTTGCCTAACGCGAAAAGTGGGCTTAAGTCGCCTAAGCACGCTAAGCGCATTGCAGCGGCTAGGGAAATGTTGTGATGCGGCTTTGCAGACACTCGAATCTCCTGCACGGCTCCAGCTTGGCAAAGCATTTCATGGCGAAGCGTATTATGGCTATGTCATAATTGAGTGCAAACTGCTATAAAAATATACAATATATCTTTGGAGAGAGTGGTACAGAGGGGGAGAGTGGGACTGATAGAGAGGAAGCGAAGCTCGCTTCATTGCAGTGAAATGATTTAGAAAATTAGATGCGGAAGCTGTAGGTTCTTTTTTCTGCTTACGTCACAGTTTGCAGAAATTGTGAACTTTTTCCTGCAAGTGAATGCGACTTGCTATTACCCTTTAATATGGCAAAAAATTTAACTTTGCTAAAAAAATATATCTAATTTTCGGTTTTAAGATAAAATTGGTGCAGAATTTTTGTGTGGCATAATTCATATATTAATTTATAAGCTAGCTCTTATTTATAATATATGGATTATAAGATAGGGATTATTTTAAAGGCAATAAAATATATATTATATATAATAAATTATATTAAATATAATTTATTAAAAAAAAAAAAAAAAATTCACTATAACCTGATTTTCAATGGGCTCATACAATTCACAATTTAAAAAAAAAATGTCTTATATATTACTTATTAGCAAGTAATATTTCATATTTTCCAGAATATTTTAAATATTTTTCAATATATTTAATATATAAAAAGTCAGTTCGAATCATTTTTTATTTTTGACTATATATTGCATTCCTGTTACATAGTCTGATATGCCCTGATATTTTTTTTGGCAATTTAAAATTTGGAATGGGCTACACTTGGAGCTATGTTGATCCTTTATTTGTTTGCAGCTCTTCGGCCAAGGGGCTTATTCTTGTATCCTCTGTGCTCGTGCTCCATTTATTTAGTGGTCGCTGCGTATGCGTTGACTGCGCTGGCAGTCCATTGATTTTCGATACCCTGTACGCATCGAAAACGAAAAGAGTTTCGTTTTTTATGTGTGATACGTAGCTGAGCTTACTTTATAGGCATTAGTGAAGATGATATGCAGAGACTCATAATGCTTTACTGCCTTTTAAAAACATTAACTTTATTTATATATATTTAGATATGTTAGATGTGTTAAATTAAAGTAAAAGTTATACTTATTATTTAATTTTTTTTTTTTTTTTTTTGTATAAAATACAAAGATCTGATTTTTTTCCAAAAATTATTTGCATTAAAAATAATTAAAATCTTTTTTTTTTTTTATCAATGTATAAACTAGGAGAATATAGCTTTTTTTTATTTTTAAATTAATTTTTTTTTTGAAATTTATTTTTATGCAATATAGTATTTGCGTTAAATAATAAAATAAAATAAAAGTAATATATATATATATATATATATATATATATATATATATATATATATATATATATATATATATATATATATATATATATATTTTTTTTTTTTATACATGAGCAATTTTTTAATTTATGCTCATATAATCAATTATATTTTTTTTATTTAAATGTATTTATTATATATATATATACATATATATATATATATATATATATTTTTTTTTTTTTCTTAAATATATATATGTATATATATATATTTTATTTGTTCATATATATACATAAAAATACACATAGTATATATATGTATACAGGGTATAACCCAGTCAAGTAATTCAATTTATTATTTTCCTTTTTTTTCAGGTCTTTCCTATTCACTTTATTTGTTTTTTATTTTGTTTTATTTATTTGTGCTTTTAACAATCGCAGTTTTTGTTTGCGATTTCGACAATTTACAACTATTTGGGGCCAACTTGGGCTTCCCCTGGGTCAGGGGTGGCTATCCAATACAGTGGAGCACATGTTGTGCATCTGCATGTGGTGTGCACTGTGGCCAGCAGATGCAGGTGAGAGTGCATAACGGTATTGCATATCCACATAGCAGATGAGAAAAGAAGAAAAATACTGTTGAGTAAATCCAAGTTTTCTTAGCTGAGCTTAGAGTTCAGTTATTTAGTTTTTTATTTTAGAAATTTTTCTACTGTCACACAGACTGAGAGAGAGGAGAGAGAGAGAGAGAGGTGTGTCTGTGTGTGTGTGTGTGTGTGTGTAGCTGGTCTACCTGTGAAGCTTTCCGCTCCCAATTCACATCCGTTGACTGTTTGGGGCGAGCCGCGGTTACCCTTTGGCCACACAATGCGGCAGTTTTGGCGGTGCCTGTGGCATGGTCAGCTCTCTATAGATGTATATGTATGTGTGTGTGTGTGTGTGTGTGTGTTGGTGAGTGGGCTGCTGGCTGTGAGGGCGGCGTGGTAAGTGACTATTGTTTTTCCAGTTGGCAAGGACTAGCGAGCAGTCAATCTAGCAACACTGCCATTTACGGGGTCAGTCACATTGCTCTGTGGTTGGCCCAGCCGTATGGCATAGCTGCTAATGGATGCATTGCAGCTCCTTCTCCAGCTGTACTACAAACAAATGCAGAGGCAGTCGGGGGCAGTCGGGCAGTCGGGGGGCAGTCGGGCAGTCGGGCAGCCAGTCAGCCAGCCAAGAGCATTCGAACGAATTAATGACGCGTTCAGCGAATCGGCAGCACTTAAAGACGCCGCTGCTGGACAGCTTTAAAATCTGATTGGGTGGCATGGGTGGCTCCCTATTAAGTGCCAGTCAGCGCTTGCAGCGTAATTATGCCTCATGGTCGTGTGCAGTGCGCCCCCAGCCGCCACGACTGCCAAGTGCTGCCTCGGCTGCCTTGGCTATTCTCTTTAATGCGAGTTCAATTGTTGTCGCTGCCACAATTTGTTGCAAGCACGGGCATTCCATGCCATTGCTTGGCAACCTGGCAAACGGCAAACGGCAAGTGCATCGCTGGTATGTGAGCACTTTCAATGATATTGTTAAGCGGCTTCAGCTAGCTCATTCCCATAGCCAGGCTAATTGGTTTAAGCGTCTTACGTCGACTTACGAATAATGCAGCTCAGCCATCCGTCAGCCAGATGAGCGCCACTCACGTCAACAGCTGTCAGCTGGCATTCGATGGCATCTTCTCTAATGCGACACAATTACATTCATTGACACCTGTGTTTTATGTACAACTTTGTACTATTTGTTAAATATATGTATTTGTATATGCATATATAGAAAGAGTCAAAGTTTCCATCGAAAGTATATTTTCTGTATCATAAATAGAAAGAGTTTAAGTTCTTTAGCCCTTAACAACCTTTCAATCGTTCTCACTTTATTAAAGAGTATATATATATATAACTAAATATAATATGTATATATGTATATACGTATATAATATGTATATACGCTAATTGAGGCTTTGATATATTATACCATTTTATTAGAGTTTACATATAGGAAAGAGCATCAGCTTAGAGTTTGACCCATATGTCAAGAGGTTATCAACTCACCTGCATGTGAAACAGTAGTAGCTAAGAGTATAAGCTACATAGACTACATTGAGTAGAGTGGTTGCTGGTGAGTGTGCAGGTTGTGTAGGTTATACTAGCAGCTAAGAGCCTGAGCCATAGTGGGCAGAGTATCGGATAAGGACCTGAACAATATAGGAGAGAGTAGCTGCAAGTGTGTGAGCGATATAGCTGAGAACTTGACCCACACTGCGAAGTGAATGAGACAAGAGGTGCGAGCATTAGCTAAGGGCCTCTGGTAAGAGTATGAGCTATATAGGTATATAGGATGAGTATCAGCTTTGAGTTTGATTCACATGGTGAAGGGAATATGTTAAGAGGAACGAGAATATGAAGCAGTATAAGCTCAGAATCATAAGTGACTGCTATGAGTTTGAAGGGAAGAGTATATGCGGTAAGAGTATAAATGTAAGAGTCAAGCTCTACTATATAGGGAAGAGCAAAAACTAGGGGTGGAGCGTTATGGGATTATTAATGATTGACACAAAGAGTATCTTTTTAGAGTGTGAGCTTATATTAAAGAGTTTTGGCAAAGGCATTTATCTATATAAGAAAAATCAAGAGAGAGAAAGAGAGAGAGAGAGAGAGAAAGAGTCTGTACTATATAGGAGAGAGCATCTGTCGAGTGTGAGTCTGGAAAATGTCCGAAAGAGTATTAGTTCAAAGCGTAAGCCATATATAAAACAGTTTCAGCTGGGAGTATGGGAAGCTAAGTGGCTTGCCAATGCTAAGAAGAAAGAGTATAAGGAAGAAGATCAGCTATCCGTATTACTTACATGGGGAAAGTGCCTGCAAAGAGTCTGACTCATAAGCAAAAAATTATTACCTTAGAGTCTGAACTACATATTAAAGGGTGTCAGCCAAAAGCTCATATAGGAAAGAGTATCTAACAAGAGGCAAGTCTAAAAGTAAATAAACGACTATTAGCAAAGCGTCCGACTTTTATTGGAAAATCTATATGCCAAGAGAAACTAGTATTAGTTAAGAGCTCGAATTAGATAGGGTAGAGCATATGCCAAGAGTGTGAGCCATATAGAGTATGAACTCTACAGCACCTCATATGAATGTCAGCTACATATATACATACATATATAACCAAGAGTCGAATGGGAAAGAATTTTCTCAACAGTCTGAACTATATAGGAAGAGTATCCGTTTAGCGTCATGCTAAAGAGTATCTGCCAACTGTCCAAACTATATAGAAAAGAGTATCTGCTAGTAGCTCAATCAATATGAGCCAGAGCATCATAGAGGTAAGAGATTAGCCACTTATGTTTTTTTTACATCTGTTCTGATCTCTCTCTCTCTCTGTCTCTCTCTTTCTCACTTTCTCTCTCTTTTGACGGAGCACTTTAAAGCGGGATTGTGAATGTGGCCCCGAGAGCGAATCGTCATTTAGTCAACTGTTGCGCAACGGTTGGCAATTTGCATTCCGAGAGGCATCCTGTCAAATTGTTTGCTGCGAAAGCTGTCATCCTTGTCGTGCTCGTCGGCGCCTCGTTGCTTCCGCTTGAGTCGAAGCGAAGTTGGCAATTGCAATTGCAGCTTGATTTCCATTTGCCATCCGCACATTGAGCGCATTGGGAAAATGTTTTTCCTGTGGCACTTTTGGCATGCCGCCGCCTCCACAGCCGCCGCAGCCACAGCTGCCAACTTGTTGCACAATCCGAAAATTTGTGCTTCTTCCTGCGGAGAAAACAGCAAATTAGGAAGTTCAATTATTGAAATTAAATTGCAGTCAGCCTTGCTGCGCGGCAGCAATAAGAATTTCCAATTAGATTTCAACAGCGACTTCTAATCAGTGCGGCAAAACTTGCTCGAAATTCAAGTTAGCTCGAGTATGGAATTCTATCAGAGTTTCCCAACTCTGAGACAGCTGGAAATATCTTCAATTTGGTGGAGTGTGTATATATGTATATATTTGTGAGTTTATTTCCAAATATTTAAAATTATGAAAAAAAAGTTGTTTATATATATGAATGGGTACACCAGTTTCCTCTAGGTATTCCTCCTACAAAATTGTTGTTCATATATATGAATTGGTGTAAGGGCAGCCTAGATTCCTCTAGGTATTGTTATACATATATGAATATGTAGGCATATGGATACCCTAGATTCCTCTAGGTACTCCTCCTACAGCTCAAAGTCTGTGTTGGGTGCCAGGCTGTCCACCTCGGCCTTGATCGTATAGTTGGCTTCGTTGATGCTGTAGCGAATGTTCAGATAGTGTCCCGCCTGGAAGGGCACCGCATAGTAGCCTTGCTGGCTGCTGGAGTCCTTGTCGGTGCGCTGGTAGATCACCTGCCCGTTGCTCAGCACCAGACGCAGCTCCTGGCTGCCGTCCTCGTTGTGGCGGGCATTCTGCCTGAGGATCTGCACGGGACTCTGGGCTTCCGGCTGTCGAAGCGGCAGCGAGACCAGCGGCTCACAGCGACAGCTGAGCTTCTGGCCGATCGAGCAGGTCTGTGCGGGCGCACCACCTGCTGGTGGCTTGCCAGTTGGCCCAAATCCTGGCAGATTGCCCAGCTGGCCGAAGCTACCAAAGTTGCCCAGATTGAGGCCGGCTAGCAGATTTTGCAGTGGCAACAGCGCGCCCATAATGGGCCAATTCTGCGTCTGCAGACCCCCTGGATCGCCCACAACGGGCGTGACGACTCCAACCGGCTGCAGTGGTTGCAGTGGCTGCAGTGGCTGCAGCGGCGGCAACGGCTTCGAAGGCTCCACTGTGGGATTCACATTGAAGTTGTCGTAATAAACGGGTATGCTCTGTTTCAAGTAGTTGTATAGGAGGGTCAAGTTGGGTAATCTTGAATTCGCTTCGTTTCGGTGCTTACCAACTGACGTTTGTTCCTTTGATCTGGTTTAGTTGTTGTTGGAGATGTTGTTGGAGTTGCTGTTGGAGTTGCTGCTGCTGTTGTTGTTGTTGTTGTTGTCATCGTCTTATCGGTGACTTCTGCAGCAGCCGCGGCGCTGATTAGCAGTATGAAACCCAGATAGCTTCTCATGTTTGATGCTCGTACAGTTCGGTTCTGTTCTGTCTGGTTGCCCGATTGGCCAGGTCTTTTATATGCTCAGTTAACTGTATCTGGCCCTGTCCAGGTCTTAAGCATTCTTATTTTCAGCATTTTATGGGCCTGGAACCAGTTGCCATAATATTTTTATGGAGCGCAAAGTGTGTCAAATCGAACAGGTAAGCTTTTGGGTTGTTTTTTGGCATAATAATATATAATATAAAAATATATATAATATATATATATTTATCGGATCTGATCTGGATTTTATGTTGCACTGGCTGGGCAAATAAAGATTATTTTAATGTAACAGAAGAGTATTGCGACATTATACCATTTAAGAGATTATTTTAAAACTATATTCTGGCCCTTTATGAGGGAGCAAAATGATGGTTAATAATTCTTAAGAAGAAGTCCTGCATGATTTGGGCATTAAGCTTTGGAATGTTATTGTCTTAATTTTAGCCTTTTCCTAACAGTCTCTGTCTGAATTATTTATTTAATTATTTCTTTCCTATTTTATTTAATTATTTTATTATTTTATTTAATTATTTATTTTATTATTAACAACAACATCACTCCTACAAGAGAATCTGCTATAATGTAGAGAGCTTACTCCTACTCACCCCTGTCATAAAGCCATTATAAACGACTTCCGACTGACGGAACTCGAGTTCCTTAATGACAATTGAGCCAGCATCGTGATAACGTTTATATATACTTTAAACGTAAAATAAAAGGCAAACTCTCTTCATCGTTATTTAAGCAGTCCAATATGATTTGTATCTTAAACAGCTACTAAAATTTTGTTATTTAAAAGGGTGACACACCTAATGTATCATGATGTATAATAAAAGAGCTGCATTTCTGATTTCTTAGCTGCTCATATTATATAGCGCAAGTCAGCCAAATGACATAATTCGTAAAAGATTTTAACATTTAAATATGATTAAATCAGCCTTACACTTAACTGGGCTGCCTCTATTATTTTCCCAGACTTTCATAGACTACAGCTTATACCATCTCATGTCTAAATACTTTATCTGATTTGTTAAATCTAAGCTAAATGGCAAGATTTAACAATTATTTCAACACTTAAATACACAACAGCTGATATATATACATTTAAATTAGTTTTCCATTTAACATCCTGCATCAGCCTTTTAAGCAGCTAAACACCTGATTTATTAGTAGCTCAACATCTTTATATGTCTATTCGCTAGATCTCCTATATTGAATAGCATTTCCATGAGACTGTAACGAGTGCCGAGACTTTAGCTGAAATTTAATTGAATTTAATTTCAATTAAATGGAAATATGTAAATGGAATTAAGTGTTCAATGATTTTCATGTTTGGGTCGTTCGGCAGCTGTGACACGTCTTCAGTGGTCGCACGATGAGAGTGCCCGGCTGCAGAGCTTCAAATTAGATTAAGCAAAAATCGTGTGACTGCCCAGCACCAAAAACAAAAAAAATAGAAAAGAAAAAGAAAAACAAGCACACACAGTCTAAAGAGCCAAATGGCCACGGCGAGAAAATTGTCAGCGGTTTTGAGTTCCCCTCAAAAAATAAAAGAAGGCAAAAAAAAACGACGAAAAATCGTGAAAAATCGAAAATCCCATCGTTGTGGCTGTAAACATGAGCAATTTTTGTGGGTGAGGTTTCAATTTGTTGTGCTTTAAAGTTCGCTTTGAACGATTAGCAGGGGAGCACTGTGAGCACCAGTGGGCGTGGCCATGATTCGGGTAGCGGCTGCACCACGGGGAACCTGCCACGGCACGATGAATTTGGACTGGGCGCAAGTTTGTTAAACATGTTCCTGTTGTTGTTCCTGGTTTGTTTGACAGTTTTGGCGACTGTTGTTGTTGCTGTTGCTGTTGTTGTTCGGCTCATAAATCAAATAAGTTTTGACAAATTGCACATTAAAGGCGCATTTTGTGTGTTTTGTTGTTTGTGCTGAAAATTGAATTTGTATGCACAAATATTATGTGTAACAGATGCTGCCCTAACATTGGCTCCAATTCAATGTGTACTATGTGAATCGAAGCAGATACAATTATTTATATGTATGTATGTGTATATGTATATGTGTGCATATATGAATGGAAAGTTAAGAACGTTATTCACACACACACACACACACAAATGCAGGCGCATATATGAAATGTGTGCACCTACCTAAATTGGCACAAAACTTGAGTTTAAAAATAATTTTCTACATAAGATATATTTTATGGCATATGACAACAACGGAGGCAATACTGCAGCAACAACATCAACAACAACAGCAACAACCACAATATATACTGAGAAATGCAATAACAATAAAAAAAAGATGCTTAGCGACGCGGTTTGCTGGTAGCGACGTTGCACAGTGGTACCAAAACACTGTTCTGCTTGCAATGAGCTGGGTTGGCAATAAGTTGAAGTACAAATTGAAATTGTTTGATAATGGAAATTAATTGTATTAGGCAAAAAAAAAAAAAAAAATAATAAAAATAAAAAATAAATAAATGATAATAATCATAATAAAAAAATAAAATAAAATAAAAACAATAAGTATACAAACGTAAAAGGAATAATACAAGTAGAAAACTTTTTGTTAATTTTTTTTTTTTTAATTTGAAAATTGCTAAAAGTATGGCGCTGTTTAGTTAACTGTATCTAACGTATTTTATTATTATTATTATTAATTATTTATTTATGATAAGTTTTTCTATTTATTTATTTATTTTATTTTATTTTTTTTGTAGTTTTTAAGATAAATTATAAAATATATAAAAATGAACAAAATATATTTTACAATAAAAAAATAAATTAATTTTAATATTAATTAATTAATTTTAATTTTAGGGCAAATTATTTTAAATAATGTTTTTATTGACCACTACATTAAATAAAATTATTTTTAATTTCATTTATAATAAGATTTTTAATTTCAATTACAAATAAAGTCAGTTCAATTAAATGCACATATTTTAATAATGCTAATTTTATTATTTAGAGTTGTTCTTTATTTATTTAATTTTTTTTATGTACATATTTAATTTTAATTCGTAATTAATTCAAATTTAGTTATGTTTTTAATTCAAACTTGAATACATTTTTTTAATCGATTGCAATTTCTTTGAACATCATTCATTGCATTCGAGCTTTCGATGCCTTGGTCCCACGGTCTATTGTCGGCGGCAGCAGGAGCCTCATTAAAAAAGTGCAAAAAGAAATGCAATAACAATAACAAAAGCTAAGCGACGCAGCCAGCATTGTCGACGACAGCAGCGCTTCGTTAAGCGGTCGACGCCACTTCCCACTGCCGCAGTCGCTGTCGCAGTTGGCGTCGCCGTTGCCGTTGCCATTGCCAGCGCTGTTTTTGAGCTGGCCGTCCGGCATGAAAATCTTATTATAAATGATGTTGTCCAAATGACCCAAAGAATGTTCAAGAATGACAAGTGCAAGCCAACAGAAATATGACGAAAGAGAGAGAGCAAGAGAGAGTGAAAGACTGGGAGAGACTGAGAGGGAGAAAGTGGGGGAGTGAGTGTGAGAGAAAGAGCTATATTTTAATATTGAGATCACTCAAATGAATGACAGCTAAACCAACTGGCGCTGCATAGCCCCAAAGCCAAGCCTTAGCCTTGGCCAGTGCTGGGGTTGCCGCAGCATGACTTGCTAGTTATATAAGAGAGTATCTCAGTATATAAGTATATATGTATATCTCTTGTGTAAAGTCCAATATGGTTTACCTGGCATAATTAATGACTTACAAGCCATTAAAGTGGCTTAACAAATATTTTACTAAGGCTTAGAGCAATTCTTGTTTGTGTCTGTGTTTTGGCAGCTTTTGTCTCCGTTATAAACAGTTATATACAATATATAAAAGAGACAAGGGTTGGTAAATAAATCCGATATAAAATATTTAAGCTACACATATATAATAATATATACATATATATATTATTAATATTAATATTGTTTATATTAATTTTTCAAAGTTGTTTTTTTTTTTACATTTTTTATAGCATTTATTTTTAAAGTATCTTTAAAACTCTCAAGTCTCAGACACTTGTAAGCTGTCTTAAATTGTGGATTATTTTTGAATGCTTTTATGAGTTCGTTTTTTAAACGAGTTGTTAGACAAAATGGCAAGAGTGTACAAGATTTTATTTCAATAATATAAAAATAATAAAGGTCTCTGCAAAGTTAAATAATAAAAAAAAAAAATTTAAAAATTATATTAAATATGGAATAAGAATAATAATATATACAATGTAAATTAATATATCTAAAACATGAATATATTAAAATTTAAAATAGCCAATTCAGACTTGAATCATACTACATACATATATGTATATCATATGGTATATGTAACTTTATTTATTATAATTATTCTTTATCAAATTTAAATAAAATATTTGACATCTTTAAGTGCAATCACTTTGAGTTCGATTCCCCCTTTGGGCTGAGTCTCTTTGGCTTCTCATTCAATTGACTTCAATTGGGTTAAACAAAATTGCGTTGGTTCGGCTCGTCTCCTGCTGCCTGTCGCATTCTTTAGCATCTTCAGCTTTGGCCTTTGTTGGCGTCGCCCTTTTGCCAGCTTTGCATTTATGGCTGGCTGCGGCGCCTTTTCTCTGCCAGCTTTATCATATTTTCATTTAACTGATTGCTGGTTGTTGTTGTTGTTGTTGCTTTTAACGCATAACGGTAAAGAGTGTTTGGCCGTTGATTAAGTCGATGCTGACGTCGACGTCGGCGTCGGCGTCGTGAGGGCCGTCGCTGCCATTGTCAATAGCAGCGAATCGAAGTTCTGAGTATAAATATAAGAAGCCGCACGGGCCGAGGAACAACAACAGAGCGTGAATCGAACTGTGCCCAATTCCTTGTGCCAGTCGAAGCCAGGCAGCCTGTCCCCAACGCAATTTCAGCCCGAAATGACAACGTATAGTATGTGGCGATGTGGCACTGGGCCGCTGTCGCTAATCCTCCTGCTGGTCGTGATTTGTGCACGGGCAACGCCACTGCCAGGAGAACCAGC